TTCACAGACTTGTGTTCTAGGCAGTGAACTTTCGAATGATGACTATTTTTCCCACTGTTAACAATGTGAGCTTATTATGAATATGTTTAATTAATACTGAGTTATTCAAATAAAGGTTCGGTGTCTGCATTGCATATTTTGTTGTGATGTTTTGTTGTACCATCATAAATGGTACATTTTGTGGAGCAGACTGCCTAATTTGATGTCATGAAATTACACACAAAATTAGAGCTCAGGTTGCACCAGCAAGCACCATTTTCAGCATGCTGTTCTTGTTTTCGGTGGACGACAGAGGGGACACCTCCCTCTCCTTCTCTCTTCCCCGTTGTGCTCGGTCACGGGAAAATGCTCCGCAGTTTCCAGACAAAGTTTACTAATACTTTTTTTTCTTGATTAGTAAATTTACTATTACCTAGCAAATTCCAGAGAGAGCCCAGTAGAGTCAACCATGTGTTGATGATTCCAAGATGAGTTGTTACCTAAACTTTCAATCATAAATGAATAATCTTAGTATTTTTTAGTTTTAGTTTTCTGTGTGGAAATTTCAGTACGGTACTCATTACGTGTACTAACCACACCCAAAAATTGTGGTTTTGTAAAAACTATAGGCTTTATTATAACATTGTAACACAAACCACGGCTAGTAATCAGATGAAAACAGTTGTTATGTGACTCTACTACTACTACTACTCTAATTTTACAGTACGTCTCAGAAGTATTGGGGGGCAACAAGTTGGCAAACCTGCTTACTAATTTGCCAACCACTTTGGTTTTTGCTAAAAGCAGATGACCTACAATTTGGAAATAATCCTTCATTGTCACCGTTGAATGCTAGTAATACATCTAAAAAAAGTTTACAAGAGAAGCATGCAAAATTATTTTCATTAATCTAATCTGCTTTGCCAAAACCAAAGGTGTCAAGGACCCGTATAATTACCATAGACATTGTAAATAAACAAGCTGTCCAGCTTTACCACTTACCATATATGTGAACGTAAATCTACTGTGACATAATTTGAGATGTTTTAATAGACTGTACAATTTCATACAATTCAGTGAGCACCATGGACAATGCAAATCATCACGAGCCTCTGTTTGCTGTCTTGTATTATTATTATATAAAAATTGATAAAATATGCGCTGTTTTTTTCTTGGTTCTTGGATGAGTTCTTTGCGACATTTTTCTACAGCAGCCAAATCTTTGTCCCTTTCCGACTGTTCATCTGAAAACGAGAAAATAGTCACAGGCATTGCAGTCTGAGTTTTTATTTTTCCCCTCACAGGAACAGAAAATACAACTAATGTCACCATATAATATTTTTCAGCATGTTAAACACGTATGAATCTATGCATTATTCCCACTGTTGAATTTGTTGCCAAGCATAGATCTGAAAATTGGAAAATGTTTTGTGGTGAAACTGCTTTTCCCAGACTTGAGAAATTGTGAAATTTGGTTTTGGATACATAAATAATGATTATTTCAACTCACAACTGCAGTCGCTTTTCAGTGATTAGTTGTGAAGAAATTTTAATAACCCCCCCCCCCAAAGGTTAAATTCTGCTAAATTCAATTATTTTCAGTGCTAGATGGTAATAATGAGTTTTATGAAACAAAGTCAAATTGCACTACAAATTTTGTTTTATTTACATATTTTGATCTCAAAATATTATAGTTTAATATTTGCTTTTTCACATAATTATGTTATCAAAAAATCAACTGCACTAGAAGCTAAGCAGCACTCAATACTGAATTTATCCATGTTCATTTACTCAAGGCGCCAGAAAATACATGTCATAACAATTAAAATGTGATGATACTGTATTTGCTCTATTATAAGCGCATCTACAAAAAAAGCACATATAAACCAAGAATTAGAGCAAATTCTGCATTCATATGAAACAAGACGACTCTAGGAATAGAAATATCAATGAAAAGTTACATGTCAATGGTTCTTTGCACAGGTTTTTTCCGTTTGAGAGCAAAACTTTGTTCAGATGCAAATTTTGGATGAATTTGTTCATATTTTCTGTCACTTTTGCTGAATTCAATCTTAATTTTGGACATAACATACAAAATTTGACACTGGTTCTTGTTTTTGTTAAAAAAAAAATTATAAAATTTTCAAAATATTTATGTTGAAAATAGCAGACTATAAATGGAACTATGAATGTTGCTCAAAGAGATGAAAACAAAAACTCTATCACAAAGACTACTTCTCACCTTCTTGGTTACCGTTCTGCATAGCTTCAGGTGTGACGATGGAATGACTTTTATGTGGTGAGGTATGTAATTGCCTGCTCACATGGCAGACCTGTCGATCAGTAGTCGCTGTACTCATCCATGATAACGTGAACTTCAAAGTGGGACCAATATTGAATACTTCAAAGGGACCAACTGGCTGAAAAGTTAAGAACGGTCAAAGAGTGTATTTAGCTATATTCAGTTTTCTTAGAATAATAGTTAAATTTGCATAATAGTGTATAATATATGCATATTTGTTTTGTTTAAAATGCAAAAATAATTAACACAGAATTTGTCGTACAATCCTAGTAGCGAAAATTAAACATTTACTGAGTACAAAACACATTTATTTAACAAGTGATTGAAAATGACACAGTCCCCGTTAAATTTTTGAAAGTTCTCTTTGTGCTCGTCATATTAAAGCAGAGGGTATCCTTGAAACTTGAGTTCCAAGTGGCGTATACAACAGATTGTTTATTTACATCAAAACACATGTTCCGTGTAGTAGTAATATGGCCAAAAATAAAAACAGCCGTTATTCGACCATCTTTGATCTGATTATGAAACACACTGATATGTATGATGTATGTGCCAAATACCAATGAAAATGGTACATAAATTGTGGAAATATAGTAGTAAGGCCAAAAAGTCAGACAGCTGTCAATGGACATGCATCCTAAGGGAAGAGTAGGAAATCAAACGGGCGGTTCACCGCGGTAATCACCGCGGCTCTCCGCGGTACACCGGGGAGAGCCGCGGACTGCTTATAATTAGGGGTCTCTACCGCGGTGGCCACCGATACCGGTTGCAACCGCGGTCGCAGGAAAGGTGTGAAATACGTACTTAACAGTTTCCTTTGTGATTCCATGAGTCTTTGTTTCAAATAGCTGTTTTTAAATCGAGCAGGTTACGAGCATCGCTGGCATGGAAATACTAAGCATATAGTAATATTATCGGCCCACGTATTTTATTAATATAAAAATCCATAAGTCCAATGCTGTATACGAATTGTTGTTGCGTGAAACAATGTTGTATTTTATGCATGTATTTATCACCAATTCCAGTAGTAAAAGTCGTAACTTTCGAAGGTACGAGTATTATGACTCGTCCATACATTTCACTTACGTTTGTTACACTTGAATAAAGTCTACCACATGAAAAGAATGTTATTTACG